TCAAAAGCAGATTCTGTTCATAACTTCATACTTGAAAGTCTGTTGACATTTCCTCTTAAGTAGCACCAAGTAATTCCCTACTGGGATATGGCCAATTCAACACTGTATTGCCAAAACAATTGAGCTCTTTGGGGGGCAGTCACACGTGCAAGAGCTCAGGCAAATGGTCACACTACAAAGGCTTAGGCAGGTCAAGAAAATTTCTAGCCTTTGATTCTTCTGTTTTTCTCAACAGAACCTGTGGGACAGTTCACCATGCCCAAAATATGAACAATACCTACAAAATGTACTCCTCACCCAGGGAGTAGAAGGAAGTGATGGTATGCTCTTGCAGCCTGGGTCTGCTAAGAAGGTGATGAGGAGGGCCAAGCTCACTCTGAGGCACTGCAAATTGAGTCAAGTGAGAAATCTAAAAAAAACTCTTGAAGCTTAACAAATTCTTCTTGTCAGAAACTAAGGGAAAATGGGGGAATAATAGGGTGAAATTGTGAGGAAAGGTATCAGTGGGGAAGAGAAGGCTGAGGGCCCCTGTTAATGGGGAAGGGTAGTTTATCAGTGCGGGTGTGAGACATGGGAGATCCGTCAGAGCTCCTTCTCACATCTGCAGTAGAAAAGGGGCCAAGGAAGAAGACTTGGCTTATGGTCAATGGGTCAGGAGTGAGAGTGGCCTAGTGGGATGAGAAAGGACACTCATGTACTGGCACTCATGCCTGGCACTTATCTGAGGCAGGATGAAGGCAGAAATAGACTTGACATCTCATCAGGTTTGCTGATATCAAAACCACCAACTAATAACTGTGCCTAAGGAACACTAAAATATGTGATCCACAGAAATCACTGCAGAAAAGTGTTCATCCTCCTTGCCAGTGTTTCACAGATGGCACTCTCCAGGACATCACCACCTGTGCTGGCCACTGACCATTGGCACAACGTGGATCACTGGTGGTGCAGGAGCTGCAGGTGGCCTTGCATGACGAGCCAACCTGTGCTACCTGTGCTCAGACAAGTGTGTTCAGGGAGCAGTGAGGCCCAGGCACAGCCTGCTGTGCCACCCAGCAAAACTGCTCTCATGGACAAAGCCAGAGTGCTGCAGGTAAATCCCAGCAGCTGCACCCATCTTAGAAGGTCAGAGAGTGAAATGTAAGGACTCGCACCTTCACTTGGTATTTCCTGGTTTGTCACCTTGACCTTGGCAGTTTGGGAAGATGTTTGTACTCAGCACTAACAAAGACTGGGGCTGGCAGGGGCAGGTGGCCACAGAAGTTATCTTGTAGCTGTTTTTTCATTGGAAATACAGTTCAGCACACAGTGAGGCGTGCCAGGAGGTCCCATCCCGTGACTGCACCTGCGTGCAGTTAAACGGCTTGTTGGATCAGGGCCACAAGGAAAAGCTTTGCTGAGATGGAAGAAGAGAAGGGCAAAAAATACAGGATTAACACAATGCACTTGGCTCTAGTTTCAAGAGCCTGTTTTGGTGCCACAAGGATCTCAGCCCTTCCCGAAAGTTCACAGGGCACAACTTTTTCAGGTCGTGCTACAACCTCAGCCACCTTATGGGCCTTCAAGTGCCGGACCAGACACCAGTTTTTACAAGCAAAGATGCAAAACTAACATGAACTGAAAGCAAGATGTTTATGCCCTCACACAAAAACATGACATTCAAGTCCTATTCCAAAGTAGCCCTGCAAAAATCAAGCAAAATTAATAGCTCATATCAAAGTTGGCCTCACTTCAGGAAAATTTCTGTTGCCTTGGTAAACACAGCTGAGTCTCCATTTTTCTCTTTCCTATTGGCAATGTACTTCACTTGCTAAATAAAGATATCTAAACAATCTCTCTTTGTACAATAATTTTTATGCTTTCCCCATCGGTCTGTTTTAATCACTTGCCCCTGCTCTGTGCAGTACAGTGCAAAGCAGCATTCAGAGTATGCATTAAAAAAAAAAAAATGTTTGGGGTTTTGGTCAAGCTACTAACAGGAAAAAACCAAAATTTTCTAGATGTAAATGTAAAGTGAGAGAAAACCCCTGTTCCTTCATCTCTATAACACAACATCCTGCTACTGTTTTCCTTACAAAAATCTAATTTTTTATGCACAGAACTAACGGTAGAAATTTACTCCAGTATAAAATCTAGTATCCAGAATCTATCAAAAGTACTTTCATGCATAAAATATTTCATTTTTCTCTTTTATATCCTAAGATCTTTATTGCTCAATACCGATTAGTTATTTCTGCAACATAAATACTTACCTTATGATTAAATTGCTTTCATTTTTGCCTTCCCTTGGAGCTCCCTATAACTCATTTCCATTCATCCTCCACCCCCAGAGGGGCATTATCCTGGGCAGAAATATCTGCTCAAGGAGAACGGGAAACTGATAGCTTTCTCTATCCAGCCATTTCAGCCTTTATGATAACGAGCAGAAATCCCTGTTCATCAGTCTAACACGGATTTTAACAGGCCTTTGGGTTGAGGACAATCCCAGAAGCAGTTTCTGAAAAATACCCTGTCTGGGTGGTTATCTGGAGCTACTTGCTGGCTTCTCCAGCAGCCCAACAGCAGATGGTACACAACGGAGCAGAAAACCTCTCCCTGCACTTCCAGCTGCAAAGAGCAGCATTGCTGCACCCAGCCTTGACCTTTTCCATCCCAAAAATCGTAAAAAAACCCAAAAGCATCATTACCTTTGAATGCAGATGGGCTAGGCCATACTCCTCATGCACTCCAGCTTTAGTGTAACGATTTCCCATATCTCAATCCAACCCCAGCTTTTTTCTAATTCTAATGATTTCTAATGATTATCCTGAGATGAGGAAGAACCCTGTGAAACAAATTGTTATGCTGCTGGTGGAGCCTGCTCCCTATTAAAATAAAATGGGGGATGATAATGAGAGGGCACATACACTACTTGGTCGAGAGGGAAGAAAACTGTGTGCTTACCAGTGATGTCATCTGAGCAGAGGCACCGGCTCTGTGACTGATACATGACATTTTAAGCATGCATGAGCCCTTCAGTCCTTCTCTTGTGCTTCAGGGGAAAAACAACTCCACTGGGACTAGGAAGAAGGATTTACTTGCCTTCCTATGCCTTGGCTCAAAAGTGCATGGCATTAATTTGGTTTTAAATTATTCTGAATACAGTGCACAGTTGCTGCTTCATCTATTCAAATAAATAATTTGGTTTAAAAAAAAAAGCTGTTGTCATTTCTATCCAAGAGTGAGTGCTTCTCAGTTCACCAGCTGGACAGGCAAACCTTTGTTCCATAACCCCTACAAGCTTTTCCAGTGGTCAGCACAGAGGGACAGACTGTGCCTGGCAGAGGGAGGATGGGTGTGGAGAGGAGAGCATGCTGCCAGTGTGCCAGACCAGTGGCTAACCATGGTCTGGATGAGGGGCACGGGAACTGTGTCAGTCTGTTGGAGCTGCCAGATTTCCTTAAAGGAGATGGTTTTCCCTATGCCTGCTCCCCAGCCTAGAACAAGCTCTGGCCCCTTGTGAACGTGGCCTGTTGTCAGCCATTCCCCAGATGCTACAGGGCTGCTAATTCAGCTCTGTGCCTTGGTCATGGTGAGAGAGGTGAAAGAGCTGTGTACAAAGGAACCCTGATTTTCAAATAGCCTTTTGTACTGTAGCACTGCTCAACTAGAAGAGGTTGAAACATCTCCCATTAGGCTTCTGGAAAAGGAACCTCCCCCATGTTCAAACAGCAACAGGTGCAGGCAAGGGCCTTTGCCCTGGTGCTGTTGTCCTTGTGTGAACACAGCCCACCCCAGCTTCTGCCTGGGACCAGTGTGAGATGGGGATCCAGGCCTACAAAAGGATAGGTGCAGACCCCATAGAAACTATTTGTTCCACAGTTTTGGGCTGGGACAAGTACCTTGTTGGGGCCCTCCACAGAAACAGCCATGGTCTGTCTCCAGCACTGTGTACAGACTTGCTGTATATGCTAGACACATGCCACTGTCCCCGTGTTTCAACAGAGAAGATGGTAAGCATCAGGAGAGAGGAAGATAAAAGCTCTGCCTGATTTTTGCATCATGTTCAGCTTCAAAAGAGCATCAGAAAGACCTTTTTTTCTCCATGAGAAGGTAGAAAGAGCCTAGAAACCAATGACTGGCTCTATCTGCACTCATATTGCTGGAAATTATTCTGAACTACAAATGTAGTAAGTGCACCTTGTGCTTGTACAGAAGCAACACCACCCACAGAGTGATTCAAAAGCAAAAGGTCTGGTTTAGCCTCCAAGCTGAACTCATTGCTCAAATAACTATTAGGATCCAAGTTTTCCCCCACCTGCTTTTTTTTCTTTTTAATCTCATTAAAAATAAAATGTAGGAAAAAGCCACCAAGCTCAAGATAAGACAGAAAGATATTTTCTCAGCAGACATGTTACTGAAACCCAGCAGATGCAGAAAGTATGAAACCTGCTATCAAGAGGAGTAAAGAGGCAGGGTTTTATAATCAGTAAGTAGTGACATGGATGGAAGAGCAGCAGTACAACCAGTCAGTTTACTGCAGTCAGCTGCATAACTTCTACATCATGAAAGTTCATGCTTGTGCTGAAAACAAAATTGCTCACTTTTTCTGCTGGCATGGAGGTTTCTTCCGATCAAATCAGAGGTGCTCAAACACACCTAAACTAGCAGTTTAATTCTGTTACTGTAGAGGATCTGCCTTATGAACAGACATCATTACATCTGGAATTGCCAATCCAACCCCTTTAATTTACTCAGAACCAAAACCATAAGATTTCACAAAGGACAAAACAAAAAGGGGGTGTAAGAATGCCACATGGCAATGCCTCCCATTAAAAAACAAGTATCTGCAAAATTATAAGAATACCTCAATCACAATGCTGATTTTACACAAAAGTTGAATGACTAGAAATTAAATACAACCACCTTTTCTCTGATCTTCTTCTGTCTCCTCTAGTTTCATTAGACATGCAAACTACATATATTTGCTTTTTCAGATGAACACATGCAAGACAATGAAGTGATCTCGTCTGTAGCAGGTTCTGGGTGCCTACTTAACATGTTTTACTGAAATTTCTGTGTCAGCATTTCAGCTGAGCCAGAAGACAAAGCATGGTATCAAGCCCAGGTTCACTGACTTTGCCAGATGCTTTGTGACACTGAACCTTGATGTTCACTGTTCACCTCTCCTCTCAGCCAGAGCAGGGACAACACCAAGAACTGTCTGCTCAGGTGGAAAGCCCTGGAAGAGGTGGGTGGCTGCTGGCAGAGGGGGTTCCTCCAGTTCTTGCTGTGCCTCCAGTACAGAAGCTGGGGGCATGTTGAGCGAGATGTGCTTTCGTGGCACAGTGAGAAGGGGCTGTTTAACTACACAACTGGTTAAAAGTTCCATGACTTCACAGTAGGGTGAGACAGAGAGACTGAAACTGATTTCACAGCCTGGAGCCATGGAAGAGAGGTTGGAGATCCTGGTATTCCAAAATCATCTCAGACTGCAAAGTAAAGAAAGAAAATACAGCTATCAAAAGGAAACTGATACAAGCCCATCAGCAATTTCTGCCATAGTTAAAATTGTTTTGAGTGCTCACCAAGTAATAAAAAAGAACTGGTTTTGGAAACCTTTCCCAGGTAGCTGGTTACTACAACAAACAACCCTGCATTTGCAAGGTTAGCCCCCAGCTGTGCATGGAGCAGCCCCACTCACAGCTACAAGAAAGCCTCACACTTGCAGCAAACACCCTCTCAGAGGGGATGATGCTCTGCCTTGCCTTGCCTCCCCTTCCTAAAGCTGCTCCAAAGCTCCCCAGAGTCATCACATACCAGCCTGTTAAGAGACACCAAAGTGATTATACTTGTTCATAAAATGTGTTTACAGAACTACTTAATTCCTGTTATTAGCACTTGACACGATGGACTGGTTTTCTTGACATGACTGCGGCTCCACTCAGCACTCAGACAATCCCCCAAGAGCAATCCTGAGACATCCCTTCAGCTTAGCCACACGTGGGCAAGCTGGGTCTCACCTCCAGACAGGCTGATACCAGAGACTGAAACACATGCAGTGCTCTTAGCTGTATGTGTAGCATCCTTGGCACTTGCCAGCTCCCAAAACTGTTAGTGTTTATCTGCTCACCCATCACTTGCATCAGCTTTCTTACTGCTGACCAGTGGGATGATCCAGTTCTAAAAGGCTCCACTGCTGTGCTGTACATCTTAAATTATACATACAGTGCTCTGCCATAGGAGAAAAGCAATCAAAGTGATTTATTTCTGAGTGAACAGAAAGTGTCCCCTTTGTCTCAAAACAGTAATTACTGTGGGCCACATTCCAATGCTAGCCCTAGCCATGGCAGGAGTTACTAGAACAGAGGTTATTTGTGGAGTAAGGTATTTCTCAGCAGGTATCAGGATGTTGGTTTTCAGCCCTAAAGCCTCTACATTAAATACCACACCTTTAATTATTTCAATTTACTTTTAATCAAAGGATGTGAAACTGGAGTGCCTCCCTTTCTCTTTGCTGATAGCTGCTCCCACTGATATGCAGAAATTCAATTAATTACTGCAAATTTTAGAACAAAAATAGCTATGCAGGTATCTGTGAAGATGCTAAAAATGTCAGGAGAAAAGTGAGATAAATGTCAATGTTATTAAAAATAAATGTCTACTTAATGCAACATTTAGCTAAATGTTTGCCAGAAAACAGTAAATAAGGAATTTAAATCCTGATGTAGCACAATAACATACTGAGGTTAAACTCCACCTCTACACTGAAAGGCAGACCAAGATGAAAATCTCATTCCAAACCCTGATATCATCTGTGCTAGCCCTCTGCACAAAAGTGGATTTTATCCAACATACAGCGACTTTGTAAACAACCCACTTCCTTTTTACCAATACTGAGTTTAGTTTTCTAATGTTTCCTTCCACATCCACAATGGTGCCTTATCAAACCCCACACACTGGCAGAGTGTTGGGATTTATACTCCCTTTTCCATCCACCAGGGCCTCCCGGTTGTTGCTCTGCTGGACCAAGGCCTCAGGCCCCTTCAAAACCTGCTATCCTGAGTTTAAATAGAAACCCTGTACCAGGAAAATAATATGAGTGTTTCTTATGTTCTCACGGTTTATCAAATCATGTGGGTGGCTCTTACAGTGAGCTGACTTAGTTATTCCCTCAACTGTGTCCAGTCTGCATGCACATCTACAAATAGTAGCAGTAATCATTTCGTGTTTTCTAGCAAGCTACTGACACAAGTGTTAAACAGTGAAAAGCCAGAAAACGAGCCCCGAGGAACACCAACAGCTCAGAGAGGATTCACTCCATCTGTCTCCACCTGGAGATCCATCAGCATCAAAACCACTTCCTGCTGGACACTGTTCATTTTCTCCTCTGGATCAAGATGTGAAGAAAGCCCACCTGGGTGACTACTATCAGGCAAGCTTGTAATCTTGGTGAACCAAAACACATCAGGCTGATTTGACAAGATCCATTTTCTCTTAGGTAGAGAGCTGCTAACAAAGTGCTGTTCCCTTTATTTGTTAATAAAGGACTCCAATTGCAGTAGTTTCATTATTTTGCTTTGGATCAATGTCAAGCTGATAGACCTATACTTAGCACCAGCACTCAATTTTCATAGCCTGATAGCAGTACACTTTTTTCCACTCACTGACTAAAAACCAACATACAGAGATCAACAGAGCTCCTATCCCCAGGTCTTTAAAATTTCATGGATACAAATTTGTTGGATTTAAGAATTCTAAAATGTTCACAGTCAGCAGTTATCCATGGTAGCCTTCTCTAGCTTCTATCTCAATGGAAAAGACTTCAATTTCATCATCTGTGATAAAGCTGCATCTCCTATTAGGCCATGCAAGACTGTGTATTAAGACTGTCTTGAGCACTAATCTTAATACAAAGAATCAAAACTGAGTCAGTTTCTTGGCTGGACATTCAAAGATTCCACCTGCAAAGCTCCTGAAAGCTGGTTTCAACTCTGCACAGAATTATCTTCTCAGCACAGTGAGAATAAGTTCTTTTCTAGAACATCTTTAAGTATTTCTGGCTAAGCTATAACAATTTCTTTGATGTGTGTGGGATGGATTTAGAAGAGAGTATAGAGGGCTTCATGCCAAAGAGTTAAACCTTTTATAAACCAGAATAAAATACAAGCTTTGTTTTACTTAATTTGGGTTATGAGCAGGATATTGGATCACTTCCTAATTTGACTGGCATGATTTATTTCCCTCAAAAAGCTGTGCTGGAAACAATCACTGTAACACCAGGGTAACACTCCATATACATTCAAGAACAGTGACAGAAAACAGCAAATGTCCTCACATGCACTGGCAGCTCCTAAACCTGCAGGGGTTGTACTGTCTGACAGGGAGAAAGCAGGGACCTTGACACTGTTCAAACTAATAAGCACATGCTTGACTAAGATTTGGACAGTGGTTGTAATTGCCATCTGCATTATTTGCCACTGCTGTGTAAAGGTAGTGTCAGGCCCACATTTTTTGAGTATTCAAGGAGGAAATTCAAGATGCCAAGATGTGCTTTCACAGACGGGGGGTTCAGGGTATGTAACTCACATTGTCCATTTTTCACACTATACCTCCCCTCCTTTGGATCACTTCTGACAACGTAATGCCGCAGCTTCAGTTCTGAGCAAGCTCTATAAACTTATCTTCCTCGTGGAGGGCAGAAGGAGATATCTGCACACCATAAAAGATTGCATTTGCATAGCTTAGATATTATCAGCTAACATGGAAACATAATATTCTTCCTTGTATCCCAGTAATATCTAACCCATCCTAATTTCCTGTTCTGCACATCAGAACATCTGTGGCAGCAAATACACCCCTCAACAAGTTAGAGATGCTGCACATGGAGCTCCTGCACTCCAACCATGAGAGTTCCCATGAAATGGCTCCCATTAGATACCTGTCAGCAATCCTTCCCTTTCCACTGCTTCAGCCTACTCCCGCTGCTTGATGCAACACAAGAACAACAATGCTCTATAGCCAGACAGACTTGAGTGAACAGCACGGTTCTTAAGAAATTTGCATTGTCAGAGATACAGCTCCTCATGCCTCTTGGAGAAAAAAACACTCCCTCCCTAATTACATTTAAAAAATCCATTGTAGATTTTACTGGCACTGCTGCCAATGACAGAAACCACATTGTCAGTATGAAAGATGAAACTGCAACGTAACTAAGAATGAATGCCCACTTTTGTGCAAAAATGCAATCCTAGAAAGCTACAAAAACATTCAGAAACAAGAGCTCTTTTATTTGGCCCTGATACTGCCCTCGTGTACAATCCAGTTCACCAAAATAAGACAACCCCCTATCATTAAAGATGATCTCATTGAAAAGCAGCTCCCAGCAAGTTTTCTTGCATGGGAGGCTTTAACTGCCAGCCCTGATGCAGCCTGACTGGGAGCGGTGTTTGCTCAGCACATTCTGGTGGTTTCAGAGACAAAGCCAGAATTCCCAAGGCTCCAGATAATCAAGCAGATGAAGTCATGCACTCTGAATGCTCCAGAAAGAGAAATGGATGGGGGGTGCGGGGTGTGGGTGTTGGAGGCAGGAATGGGGGACCACATTTAACAATACCACACAGAAAAGTAGACAGAAAAAATGTTCTCCATTTAATGATTCCTTACACTAATGACATGCTGGCATTACCAATAAGATAGTATTTGAAAGAATGAACCATTTAACCCCAGGAGGAGTCAGACTTTCAGGCAGCACGTCTAAATGCAGGCACTACAATGCAGCACCTACGTGCTCTCCCCAAGAACAGATCTTTCTGTTCAGGTGGCTGCAAGCAGAGCCTAAAGCCAGTGAAGTCCTTTCAGGAACCTCAATTAAGCACCACCTTGTTATCATCCTCATCTCTTTTGAGGAAGGTACTGCTAATACCAGCCAACAGCATGTACAAGTAAAAGGTGAAGCAGATGCCTCCAACAAACCCTTTCATTCAGAGCCTGCTCAGGGAGTAGGCTAGGGCAGAGAGGAGCACAGAGCAGTTCTCAGCAGTGATACTTCAAAGGCAGCCCCAGGTTGGGAAACAGGCTAGAATTAGACACTGATAAACACCAACACTTCAGAAAGCAACCAGTGTTTTAAGGGCCTTTGGGTTTTGGAGTTCACTACAACTGCTTAAGGGAAGTAAGATTTCCAGCCCTTTCTAGAAAACCCTGTACTAGCTGCTTAAAAACTGAAATCATTGTATTGACCTATCCCTGAACTCCTGTGACTTTTTATATTCATCTCTGCCTGCAAGCCCTCCAGGGATGGATCTGGCCTCACACTGCAGCATATTTCTGGGCCTTACACTGCAATTACTATAATAGACATCTTTCTCTTCAGATTTGGGGAGAGGGTGGTGAAAATCCTTTCCATTCTCATGTGTTTTCAATCATTTTTTTCCTCCTTCTTACATACATGCATCTCTTTCCAATTCAAAAATATATCATTTCCCTGCAGATAGCACAGCTGGATGGGTATAACTCATTAATTTCTAAGAAGCTTCTTTTCTTCCACACTTCCTATTTTTATTTTAACTCTAGCATTTGCATTATGCTTTCTTCTACCTGGGAAGGGATTATGGGCATGGTCTATGCTGCTGGATGGAAGTGTACCATATTCCAGTTATCTGCTGCATATTAGATACAGCCACCTCTGGATAAAATGGAAATCTCCCAAGGGAGCATTATTGAAGGAAAACCCATGCCAGATGCCATGCTGGAATTTCTCTCCTTACGAGACAGGCAGCTGCAGTCAGGCTCAATTCTCCTATTGCCACTGAAATGGCAGAATGAAACTTTAACAGAGAAAAGAGTTTACACTTCAGCATTCCAGCCATGGATATAACACAGCTAGAATCTCTGTTGTCAAACATCCTGCCGTCTCTTGCCACATTGATTTCACTCCATGCTGAGTCTAGTGGCAAAATCACAGCACTAATGAAGTTAATGGGAGTTTCACCAGTGGATTCAAGAGGGCTGAAATTTCACACTGACTCTTCAGTCATAAAATTCCCTCTGCTCACCTCTGAGCTTAACAACTGTGCCCGTTACACCCAGCATGGAGGATCTGGGGTTGATCCAATATCCTTTTAAGTTAATGGAAAGGCTCCCACTAACTTTAATGAGGACTGAGATAGATGAGTTAGCGGATGAGAGCATTTTATTTGAGAAAGGCAGGATGATGATTCACAGCCACTTAACATTGTCTTTTTAACCCCTCATGTACTATTTCTGTGCTTTTCTAATCCCCTGTGTTGATGTCACTTGTTGCTAATAATGATTTTGCAACAGTGACATTATAAGCATTCAGGTTTTTACTCTTCCCTCCTCCTACCAATTAATGTGAGCAATAACAATTGAGAAAGTCTGACTATCAACAGAAGCATTCAGGAGAGAAAAACACAGATGTAAAAATGCACTAGAAAAAAATTGCTGGCATAACTGTGCTTGAGAATATGCCACAGCCTCACTTATGCCTGCAGCTCACAGTGACCTCTCTGTATTAAGGTAATGTCTTTTGTTGGGAGCACACATCAGTAACCAAAAAGCTGTGACAGCAGAGTTGTGCTTAAGAGAAAAGCATTACTTTTTTATCAGTGCCAATCAATAGAGCTGATTTAATGCTCTTCCCTTTCTGTGTGAATATCAGTGGAGGCTCATTCCTCATCCTGATCTTTCTTGCTCACCCTGCACCCCATGCTTGCTGCATGAAAAACTCACACTTGTGTACCTCAGCTTTCTCTTCTTCCCCCTCACCAGTTTTTCTTTAAATACAGGGCACCTTTTTAAAAAGGGCTTACTCTTAATACTTAATCTTAATACTGCCCTTTTGTTTTAAATCCCAGTCCTAGAACAGTGAAGTAGTTTCTTTTATTCTGGATGAAGCAAGATTGGAGAAAACAGGTTGCACGATAATCCAGGCAAACTAGGTCTGATTCAAGTCTCAGAGACTCTAGGAGGACTGTGGATGTCAGTGATAGCAGCATGAACCAAAGCCCATGTGAACATCATACAAACCTTCACTGTGCTTCCTTCTCAACCAGTGGCATGAAACTGGGCTTTTACTAGTATTTCACACCTTTATTTTCACTGCTGTCTTTAAACCTTACCCTCAGTATTATGGCATGCTTGAAAACTGAGCAGAAAGTCTCAAGGCCACATGCAGGGTGGAAATGACAGTCACAGTTACTTGAAGCATCAGCCAGTGGGTTTTAAAGCTGTGGCACTGAAGGGAAACACATTTCAGTCCTAGAGTTCCCACCCCCAAGGCCGCACATCTCCATTTTTTAATTTTTTGGATCTCAAGAATATTCTCAGACCAACGTATTCAAAATGGAAATGAATAATAACCAGCTTAACAACAGTAATTAATCCCCTGTAAGCACACTTCTGCATGAATCTATTAATTCTCATTTCCAAGTTTTCAGAATTAAAGTGTTTGATATAGTACAGGCTACTTATTCCCTTTAATTAAGCAACCTCCCACTGCTAAAGAGGGTGAAATATTTCATCAGTCAAGAGCATGCACAGCCCTCATGAAGAAAGTTTTTGGGCTTGCCTGACACATAATATGGAGGATCAGCTGAAGTTTCTTGGCTCACCTTAAATCCCACTTGTGGCAGAAGCAGCAGGAGAATTAATTCCCTCCCTTCTTTACAACATGTACCTTGAGAGAGAATTGCACAGTTCAGATTTATATTGAACGTCCTCTTTTCCCTTCTTCACAGACTGAAGTGTGGCTCTGATGAACAGCAAAAAGAAATGATGAGTAACATCGCTGAGCATCTGAATGACAGCAAATCACTGACCTATAGGAAACTGTTTTGTAGCACTAAAGCAATCCCACATGAACAAATGTCCATTCATGTAATGAATCTATGTGATTTGCCACTTGGCAACTTTGGCAATAAATTCGAGTAGCAGAGTGATACACTGTCTAAGTAGTGTTGAAAAAGGAAGAGACTAGCTGTGTTTATACTTCTCAGTGCTGCAAAGCCTGTGGAAGAACAGGAGCTCTAACAAGCCAATGGCAGAAAATGCACAGTACCATTTAATTTTTCTAATTCCTTATTTAATTCTCCCTATTTTTGGGAGCATGTATACAGTATAAAGAAGAAATGATATTTATTCATTATCATTCTCATAAAGAGAAAATGGAAACCTACCACTCTGTCAAGAAGGTGGACCTTCACACATTCAAGATAAGCTGAAATCTGTAGAGGCTTTTTAAATGGTGTTTCATAAGTAGGGCCCAAGGTTGTGCTTTAGGCTTCGTACGTGATTGAGAACTCTCACATACTGAGCACACAGATACAAGAGGAGGGCACAACAGTGAAAGCACTGAGGTCATAGGGGGTCATCTGACATGGGTGCCTCACATCCAAACAGGACTGTGACCCTGCTTGCACAGAGGAGCTTAGGACTAGAGGAAAGCAAAAAGGAGAGCTTGGCATGGAGCAAGCACACTGGTCCAAAAGAACACAGGCATTTGAGAAAAGTCACGTTTTTGAGCCCTGAACTGAAAAATGATGATTCCTGTGAGACTTGAAAGTTTTTAGGTCACTTTGAACAAGCTTCCTTTAAGTGTGTGCAATGCAAGTCATTCCTGAAAATCCCAGAGGCCTAACACCATCCCCTTGATGGAATCAGATTACAAGGAAAACTTGGGTCATTCAAGAAACATCAACTAATAACAAAGTCATCTCTAACAGTCCCAGTGGACTGCAGTGTAGGAGGCTGTGAATCACTGAAGACATGGGAAAATGGCAGCAACAGAAGGAAAAAAAAGACCAGTCTGCAGCAGATAAACAGGTGTAACCTCACTAAATTCTTCTGCAAGCAGTTGTCGGGATCTGATCTCTGCCTGGAAACTCACTGCCCTTTTAGGCATCCAACCTCCAGTACTAAACATCTTATAACGATTACTGCAATATAAAGTTTGTGAAGCTAGTCAGTTCCAACCAGTAGAGAAGAAAGGAATATCACTAAACAGCAAGCTTAATGCTTCTTCTTACAGAGAAGCTGATAGAGAACTCAAGAGGAAGAAACTGCTAAACTTCAGCTACAGTTGTGCTGTATTGCTACACTATCACAAAGATAAACATCAAAATCTAAGAGATGAAGGAATTGAAAGCAATCATTCCTAACCTACTTTTTAAGATCTTTCATACACTACAATGTATGCACTTTTCCCACTGCAATTGTGCAACAAGTGACTATCTGAAATGCAAGTGCCAAAACTGGGAATATATGTGACATTCTCCTCTGTAATTCCAAAAGACTGGAGGAAAATACATTTCTACACAAGTACAGGCTGGGCACGACCTGGTAATATGCACGTTTCAGCTCAGAAAGCTGATGGTTCTGGGCTGCATCAAAAGCAGTGCAGGCAGCAGAGCAAGGGAGGGGATTCTGCCCCTCTACTCTGCTCCTGTGAGACCCTACCTGGAGTGCTGAATCCAGCTCTGGGGACTCCAGCACACAAAAGACGTGGACCTACTGGAGGACAGAGGAGGGCTGCAAACACAATCAGAGGGCTGGAACACTTCTCCTAGGAAAACAGGCTGAGAGAATCTGGGTTGTTCAGCCTGGAGAAGAGAAGGCTCTGGGGAGACCTTATAGCTCCTTCCAGTACCTACAGGGAACTGACAAGAGAGCTGTGGAGGAACTTCTCACAAGGGCATGTAGTGACAGGACAGGGGGGAAATGGCTTTAAACTGAAAGATGGTAGATTTAGGTATTAGTAAGAAATTATTTACTTGTGAGGGTGGTGGGGCACTGCAACAGTTTTCCCAGAGAAGTTGTGGATGCCCCATCCCTGCAAGTGTCTAAGACCAGGCTGGATGGGGTTTTGAGCAAACTGATCTAAAGAAAGGCCTCCCTGGCAATTGCATGGGGGCTGGAACTAGGTGATCTTTAAGGTCCCTTCCAACCAAAACCACTCTGTAATTCTAGGAGAAATCCAGAATTTATTTTTAATACTGGCTTATACTTTAGATGAAAACTTGCAAAATCTCTATGGGATGGGAATGTAAGGTCTAAGTGCATAGGCACAGTAATATCAGAGTGTTCCTTGAAGAGCTGGAGCATTATTTGAAAGGTGAAATAAACTGAGAAAGCAAATAATATTCTTTTCTTTTCCAAGTTGAGGTTTTTAAATCCCAAAGTATAATATTCTTTAAATTCTTACTATTAAGGTTTTATCCATTAAAAATATCTAGCACTTAAAACACATTCCCCTAGGTAGGATCAAATAACATTAGACAAGACAGCTCTGAAGCTGGAGGGCTGAATTTTAATAACCAGAAAATCTGTGAAAAGCCACAGTAATTCTACAGTAGAAAACTTAAGAAGTCAGATTCAGATAAAGAGCAGTGCAATAGTTCATACTGAAGTAAGCATGAAATCCCCTTTCATATGACATTCTCTTTGCAGATTTGGCATCATCTCAATTTTTTATACTTTTTGCAAGATTGGTAAAGTAAATATGCCTTGTCTAAGATAGCTTAGAAAAAACACAGATATATAATTTAGTCAGTTGCTCTGGAATACAAGTTAACATTTCTGATCCCCTATGTCTTCTAAAATAAGGCCTCTTAAAATCATAAGTGCAAGTGCCTTAGTACCTTCTGATATCAAACAGAAGTCAGTAAGAAATTAATTGTATTAGAGTCTGATCCAAAGCCAAGTCTAGCCATTTTGATCTTTCCATGAAATTTCAGCCTGCCTTGGTGTAAGCCCTTAGAGAACATGTAAATGTTGATGCTCTTTGCGGTTATTGCATATTGTTGCGGGGTTCTCTGCAAATAATTTCCTTTTTCTGCACCTCAGTACATGGCCACTGTCCATTAAAAACAAAAGCATTCTCAAACTAACAGTCAGGGTGATAGATAATGCACATGTGTGCCTCTCAGCACAGGCAGTATCACTGAAGAGAAGTGATATTTGTGCTCACATAATGACACACAAATTTTGCTGAAACACATTACCAAAACATTACCATTGTATATTCAAAACATTTGGTGAGTGTAAATTGCCATAATCTACCAGAAGACAGTACCAAGACTGGCCAGTTTCCTGAGTTCTAGGGCAAGAAATTCAGAGGGGGAAAGCACTGTCAAACTTCTCTATCTGCCGGAAAGGATAAGGATTACAGGAAGGGTGAATGTCATTCAGAGAAAGAAATGTCTCCATTAACTTTCCCTATTTTTTTTCAATACCTGTCTATCATCTTAGAGGAGCACAAAAATCTATAGCTCTCTAGATCACAATTTACCATGACTTAATTTCAAGACTGTTCTTCCTAATGTCTGCTGACACAGATAAAACCCGGAAAAACCTCTCTGCTTTCTTTTTCAGGCCAGTAAAAGATGACTTTCATGACTGGCAAGCACAGCAGCTGAAAGCCCAGGGGAGGATTAGTTCAGAGCATCCTGTTAAGAGTTCATAACATACTTGCACCCATCCGGACTGGAAGGAGATGGGTCCCATAAAAAAGTACAAAGCCTCATAAAGACGAGGAAACTGGCTGACCTGGTCTCTTTGCTGAATCACTAACAAGGGTGTATTTTAGTTCAGATTCACTGCTTTTGCAATAATAATGTTCCCCTTGCTTGAAAAAAAGAAGCATCACAGTCAGTCAGTGTTTTTAAGGCCTTGCATACCCCTAATGCATGTGTACTGGTAAGCCTACTGTTAAAACTGTTTAAATAGGAGGGCCAGCACAGACCTCTTCATTGAAAAAGAGATGATTCAGAATTGACACACACTGTATTTTACCTCTCCTGATCAAGTTTTATGCATCACCAGCTCCCAATCCAACTCATACCCATGCTGATGTGAAACAACATAGCACTGACAGATAGCCTCATATTGGTCTTCCACAGGTGAGGGAGCAATCCTGTATTTTCTGTGTACAGATGGCAAGCAACAAATTCTTCTTATGGCAGTGGGTAATGAGGTTCCCTGACATGGGTATGACTAAGTAAGTGCAGATGTTTTTCATATTCAGTGGAAAGGCCAGTGGGAGAAGCAAGTTCAAGATTTTTTTTTCCAGACTTAAAACAACTTGCTCAGGTATCAGGGCTGCAAAACATATCATAGTAGCCAAAGGGTATGTGTACCCAAGCCATTGGAATGGTGGGGAAGGAGGAAGAGCAGAGGAGTTTCAATGCAATTATGTACCCCACTAAAATTGTTGAAATATTGGTTCTCCCTTCCTAAGGTACTGAGCTCACCAAGGATTAAGGCAACCATGTCCAGTCTAGGACAATGTGGCTAACACTCATGCTCAAGGGTAATAAAATTTTTCCCTGGTGACCAGTCTGCTATGGAAAGGCTTGCACTGATTCTTAATGGAGAACTGAGCTCGTTCTAAAACAAATCAAATCTGAAGCAGTCTTTTAAATGGAGGGAAAGTAAACATGCGCACACACACATCTATCTGGGACAAAGGGGATTTCTTAGATGTCTTCATTTCCTGCTGCAGAGGCAGACTGCTTATTCAAGCCCACTACTATTTATATCCCGCCTCTGTATCTTGAGAGAAAAAGCATAAGCTTCTTTAGAATGAAACTGAAGTTCCTCTGGCCTGGGCCTGCTGAGCCCAGTCCCCCAGCAAATGCCTCGTGCAATTATTTTGAACTCTACTCCTGCTCACTGGTGCAAACACATGGATGACTCCATTCGTGTGGGTGAGCACACTCCCAATGGTGCTGTCACCAGCCCTTTCATGCTGCTTCATTTCCATGGCTCCTCGGTGTATGCTCTTTGTCTGCTCTCCATCATCACTGTACAGTGCATAACAATTACTTTGGCTCCTCTCTTCTGTTTGAGCTGTTCCTTCCTTTTGTATGTGGGCTGGCAGCTATTTTTTCTTTTTAATTAAAGGGCTTTGTTTATGATACCAGGTTTTGAATGAAGATTTTATAACACACACCATACTTATAACAATCCTAATAAACAGCACAAACTGGCATTTACAGCTAGAACACGGGGTTATAGTTATATGCTGGTGTAACAACTCCACTACATCAGCCTGAATACGGATTGACGCAATTCAACCAAATCACATCTCAAAAGCTGCTACTGCTGAATGGCACTTCTCTTGGAGGAATCCTTGCTATTCTCTCTGTTCAGTTCTGGAAAATACTAGCCAGCAGGTGAAGAAGAAACTTCAGCAAGCAAAAAAGGAGGGACGGGCCAACACTCCCAAATACCAACATAAGAATTTCACTGCCCCTATTTTGATGAGCATGCTGTGTAGCATTTGCAGTAAATATGCAGAAATACTGGCCATGTATTTTCCTACTCCCCATTTCAGAATTGCAGATGCTTAGCCTGTTTGAGCACCTTCCACAGTGAGAACACGTGCACTGAAGTTCCGAAATCAAGCTGCTGATTCAAGTGGGCATTGCACCACCCAGTAACCATCTCTGTGAGTAAAAACAGGTTTGCTCAGGCCATATAGTTGTTTGTTTGATGATCTGTTCCTTGATGTTCCCACAGCACAAATACAGCACCATGCAGGGAAGTGGACCTGCTCTTCTGCAATCTGGGGGTGTAAGGGAGGAGACTGGAGCAAAGCAATCATTCCTCTTCATTAGGCAGGCTCTAAATATTAAAGGTTATAAATTAAGGGAGAGTAGAAATACTTGAAGACAAGGAGACGAAAAACTGAAGAAACTCTAGGGCACAAGAGAAAACAGTTGGGAAAAGCAAAAAAGCAGAGCCCAAGTACAAATCAGGTAGGAAGGCAGTGCAGATGAATAAAGCACAGGACAAGCAGGATTCCTGGAAGCTCAACCAGCGTCAATGAAAATTATGCCAGACCGCATGCAACTGCACTAGGAAAAACACAAATAAGATTATTCATCCGAGTCATCATAAAAGTAAAATCATTGCAGTTAACAGTAAAAGAATAAAAATTCAAGCTAGGTGACTGTGTGGTGCCCTGCCCTCAAAGATTGAGAACTGTTATATGCACAGCTTGATTTCAGACATATTCCTGAAGGTGGCTGGGTTTGTTCTTCATGAAATTCTAAGACTATTGCAGAATTAACATCCTGCTAATGCTGAGGAAAGCAATCTCCTCCTTCCATAAGTAACCAAAGTAGTTCCTGGCACTGCATTACATAATGAGCTCCTCCATTATTACAGCTTTAGAATTATTTGCAAGTTTTTACAGAGCATTTGATTTAAACCAGAAGGGTAACCTGTTCCCTCTTTTTTTTGTTTCTTTTCTAAAGAATGGCCGGAGTTAATTCTGTTAGAACAAAGTGCTTCCCAGAACTACCATGAAGTAGGAAAGCACCTTTGACTCTTATTTCCCCAACACCAGATAATAGAGTTCATCATGAAGAGTATTATTTCCCAAGAAGCCAACACTGGATGGAAAGACCATTGTTCCAAATGATCCCCAAAATTCCAGAACAGCAGACAAGGACTAGAAGACCTTCCAGAACTAACAAGACTGCAAAGACATGTATTTCTAAGGAAAATAAATTGTAGAGAAAAGAAAAAATAAAAAAAGACAAATCTGATGTTAATTTAGGGAGACAAATCTCCAAGACCACTGTTGAACAACATGGGATGTTGCCATGGAAGAGTACATGACTGGTAATCTAATGCTTATCACGTGGCAAAGGGCTGAGTTGAGAATGATAACTTTTAAAACATGCTCAGGCTTCTAATTTTTACAGAAAAAGTAATAATAAAGAGCATCAGAAGGCTGACAATATAGCTATGGTTATATACCAGAAATGCTAGCTAAAATGAAGATATAATTTCTCTTAAATCATTCTGAACTTTATAGCAGAACAATTACAGAGACAAGCCAGAGATGTGGCACATCTGATCTCTGTTAGCACAAGAAACAACCCTGAGACTTATTAACACCAAACACCAATAATGTCAGCATTCACTGCTGAATTAGTAAGGACAAAGGACAAACACAACTAGGTTTAATGATTTCTCTGTGGCACACACCCATTCCTGGTGGGTTCTTCAAGACCTTGTTCTTCTCTTCACACTGCACTCTGTGCTTAGCCCAAACTAGTCACACAAGAGCCCTGACACTATGGAAATCTCTTCTAATATAATCACAGTCACCCTGTCTTTGGTGGAGACAGTCTGTAGCAGCACAAAGTCAGGCCAATGCCAGTGCAATACCAAGGAACATGAAGTAGCACCCCACCTTTTACTGGGACATAAACCTGTGAGGATTTTCATTAGGAAAGCTGTCATAAACATGAGTAGACTTAATTTTCCTGGGGCCTCAACATTCACATTCTCTCCTGCAGTGCCAATTCCTGTGAATTTACTTATGTATAAACACACTGTACACCAAAAAAGGGTTAACTTCTACAAATAGCTATGCATATTCAAATGAAAATAAACATCCTAATTCTCCAAAGAGAAATCATCAAGACACTTGGTTAATGATACCAGAGCCTGTTCTCTCTAACTGTCTCCTGGTATCCTTATCCACAATTCTTTATTTGGCTGTATTATCATCATCATCATCTCTGGACTTTGTATTCCAAACATACCAGCTGCCCACAACTAAAGGGCTCCTTTGCATTACCAATTATAATTGCACTGAATGCACTACTGGTTCTGTGACATAAAAAGGAATTAAAAAAAAAAAAAAAATCATCAAGCTTATTTCAACTTGAGAGAGTTGAACCCAGGTGAAAAACTAAGTCAGTAACCCACAGAACCCACTAATTAATTACCATATAGATGTATGTATCCAATCTAATGGAGATCAAAATTAAAAAGAAAAAAAAAAGTAGCCCATTATTCACCACAGTTTCAATTACAGGTGGGAGAATAATTCCACTCAACACATTCCCTGTGGCCTGGCCCACACTCAAGAGATGTTTTTTGCGAAGAAGCTTAGAAGCAAAAATCTCGCTTGAACACTGGAGCAGGACACCTCATTTGAAGTCTTCCCTGAAAAATCAAAACAAAAAGCCCCACCAACTACAAAGAAGTCCCCAAAATCCCAGTTCTCCCTTTGTTGACTATTTCCTATAGTAAGACATCGAGAATCAAGAACTTTATCCATCCACTCCTTCAATAAAATGGACTAAACCAGCATTAATTTGTTAACCTTTGTATTACTTCATGCACTCATGCCATATGATGTCAAGCTAAATTCCAAACTAAATCCATTTAAGTAAATAGAAAAGAACATTTCTTACCTTTTAGTCTCTCTTCACTGTGGACTCCCACTGCTGAAGATAATCTGTCAAATTAGAGAGACTTCTTTTTTCTTTCTTTTTGTTTAACCTCCCACTCTTAAACCATTTAATATTACCACATGGGAAAGCAAATGCAAGGAAAAACTTGTCTAATGTGTCAATGGCTACATGTCACTTCTATTAGTCAGCTTCTGTATCAGCCTGGGTAGATATAGTTCAAGTAACTACAGGGGAAACAGCCTATTTTCTAACAAGAAAAGACACACTAAGAATATGCCAGAAAAAAAATTACATTTTAAAATACAAAAAGAGTGCAGGATTCCAGC